CCCTCCCCAAGCCATGCGCCCTTGACGCCTCGCCTCTTTCTCATTTTCCTCCTTACCCTCCTCACTTATCGCCCAGCACGTGACCGTCGCGTGGTTCATGGTTGCGGGTAGCGTGGTGCCGGTGGTTTTTATTTACTGTCATCACAGCTGGAAACTGTTGCCCGAGCCCTGCCGACCGATTCTACGCCTGCTCCGCTTCGTAATGTACCCTCAACTATAAAGTAAATGCATTCTATTTTCTACAGACCATTCCAATACTGAAAACGATACTATTCAACGTGGAACGTCAACGCTGTAACGATCGCCTGTTGGCGTGTTTTGGGTACCGTACGGTGCATCTGCGTGCATCAGCGAGGAGTATTCTTTTGCGTATATACACCTGAGTTTGGACCAATACTTACCCATTTTTACGGCGATGATTTTCGCGCCCGTCTGCAAATGATAGCTGCGCTCTCATCGCTTCTTTTCGTTGCGACCGCTATGCAGGTCCTCCACTGGGATGTTTTATTGCTGTTGTAACAAATTGAACCAGTTCAACTTGACTCGAGGTTGGGAGATGTTTTATTGGCTACTTATTGCAAACAAAATTGAAATTATGTATGACACTATATATAAACGTACAGCACACAAGCAAACTATAGTATATAGCTGTGAAAAAATGTACAGTCTCGGCAGTTTAACTCTTGCTGCATTCTCTTCACCGTGATGTTGATCGACACAAACATGCTTTAGATTGAGATATAATGTCACCCCAAATTTTCTCTGCCTTGTTTTTGTAACTGCTTGCTCCTGGCTCATAACCCTTGTTCAAACCCAAATATGTGCACTCACTGGCCTTGGAACTGTGTCAACTTTGTACGTCTTTGACGGCTTTTCTGCGGGTGGAGGCTTTGCGTAGAAGTTCGGCTTATGCTGTGCCGCCTGAAGTCAAGGTACTTCTGGGCGGTGCATCGCATAAGGTGAAATGCGTGGCTTTCCATTGGGTCGTTTTCAAGCATGTGTTCATTGAGGGTGCTGAACATGTCCTTTCCAATGAATGATTTGAGAACATTGCTAAGTAGCTTTGCCAAGAAATTCTTTGACGATGTAGACAAGTGTGCCAGGATAGATCGAAGAGCTTTTTCACTTTCTTGACAAATCCTCACAACATCTCCAGATGGGTAGAGCAGCCCTCCCAAGGTTTTATGTCGTATAAGTGAGTAGATCGGATCTGTGGGAGCTGTGGTCGTGAGTGCATCAATGCAGTCTGCACAGTGCAACCTTTTTTGGAGGTGACGAGCCACGAACCCAGCAATATAAGCAATAATCCTTTCAGATAATTCTGACATAAATCTTGGATCCGGCAAGTAATCATGGTCGAGAGTAATATCGTCATCTCTATCAATGCTGGTGCCTTCCGATTCCTCCACGAGGCTTCTTCGAGTGCTTGACCAGTTGATGATATCTAGGGAGTCTTGCTCCACTAAGCTGCTGACATGAAGGATTTTAATGTGCTCAAGTGGCAGGCAGTTTCCAGATGCGACATCTCGCACTTCGTTTACCACAATCAACCTCCTGAAGGCTGCAGCGAACTGTCTCGCAGTTGGATTGTCATTGCATCCCCCATGTGATCTGATGGCCCCGAAGAAAAGTTCGAGGTGGTCTTGGCTAACTTTTATGGTCGGGAAGTACTTCAGTAGAGACTTTTCCTCAACTAGGTGTTTGTAAAGCTTGAGGACGCTGTTGATGCAGGTGAGAAATCCAATGAAGCCCACTTTCCGTTTGCTGCTGGTCATGAGCCTTCCAGTGCTTGATTCCTTTAGAGAAGAGAAGTACTTCGTTGCATCGTTTAGGATAAGACGAATATCCCGGATGTTCTCTTGACACATCGGTTTTTTCCATAGCCTTTGGTTTAAGTGTCTGGAGTTCAGATTGTCAAACACGTCATTGACCTTCCTCAGAAAACGCACTGTTGGCTGTGCTCCATAGAATCCCGGAACCCTTAGATTTCGGCACTCTTCTATCGCACTCGCAACTGATCTGCTGAAGACTTGCGCTGCAAGCGAAATCTTCATTGGTTGGCTTTTCCAGTGGACATGCGATTCCTTCAGTTTGTTTGCCAGATGTAGGCCTTCTTTTTTCTGCACCTCATGGAGGTCCTCGATGAGTCTCCATTGGATGGTGCCCCCATCTCCATCAACAAAAGATTTTTTGTCACAAAGACAATTTCGAAACAATTTTAACATGTGACAGGGATCAAGGAAAACAAAGACGGGCTCTTGAGTTTCCGGGTGGGGAATGACCGTTTGGAGATTTTCGGTGTCAAAGCTGCAGCCCAGATTGCGCAGCATTGTGATGTTTGCGGCTTCCCCGTCGCACGTAAGTGACACGGCTTTGGCGTTGCACGCGTGAACTAACCTGAGGGCTTGCTTCACCAAGTTAGCACGTTGCTCTCCCCCTAGGCCATCTACAAGGAAGTAGCCAAGGGGAAGTTTCCAGTGGCCGTTAATGCCAACAGCCATTACAACAAACGCATCTTTAGCAACGGGCAATGCATCATCATGAACCTGCCCGCCCATGTCAACATGGCCATGAAACTTCCGCCCATCCCATTCGGTGTGGCGTCTCACCGCCATCTCATCCACTAGCAGACTACACAATGTCGGGTACCCGGTTGTTGCATTCTGAGTTACTTTCATCTTCAGAGCAGCAAGCGCTTCTTTAGAAAACCCCGCAGATCCATCGACGGTCTGGTACCATTTGGTCAAGGTCCTTGCGTGTGGTAGGCATGTATCGAAGACTTTTCTTACATAGTTATTTATAGGCCCTGGGCGAGTAAAAATGCAACGTTAGAGCAAACGCCCGCAGTTCTGGTGAATATGTGACCGGCTGAGGTGCCCCAGTCCTCTTTGCAACTTGACGTCTAAGCAGGTCCTTGTTGACTTTACCGAGGCTCTCAAGTATCGAAACATTCTCATCAGTCATGATGCGATTCTTCGTAAGATCATCAATGACATCCTGCATCTCGGCTAGCTTCTTGAGGCGTCGCTGAGACTGCTGAAGTGTTTTGATTCTTTTCTTGCTGACTGTCTGGAGGTTGCAGTAGCGTGTAACCTCCTTTCGCAAGAAGGCCTTCTCGGGAGTGTCGTCGGCAGGCTGAGCCTATAAGAATGCAGGTTTTCATCACAAATTCATTGTCAACATTCTAAATTTGTGTCACAGTTGGGCACTTCTCACTCCCCTAGCATATATATAGCCTTTCGTGACCATTGTAGATCCGGACTGGTGACAAATGCAAGCAGATTAGAGGGCGACTCCAATCATGTTTTTTTCTTATAATTATATAAGCTATGAGACAGCGACCCTGATTCATGCAATATCATTTGTTTTTCGGCAGTGTGTGTTGTTTTGTAGTAACTGGCCTGAAGGTTTCATTGGCAACATTACTGCTGCGTCAGTTTCGTGCCACCGCAGGGTCTGGACCAGTCTGGACTACTTATTAGTGTGCCGAGTGCCAGCATTTTCCACTTTTGCCGAGGAAACGAGTTGCAATGATGCTCATAGCTAGCACTCGTACTAACTACGAAGTGCAGCACGTGTTTGCCTTTCTGCATTGTGCCTTTGGTAAGCAGCATTCGTCATCAATCTAGCTTTTTTCACTTTGCAGCAGTCCATTTATTGATTATCATGAGCCCAAATAGAGTGCTCATGCAAAGCTCGGGCCCAATCTATTAGCCGCATTCGCTCGGCGGTACTGCGACCACCCAGCTACGTCATCAAGTTTTGCAAAGGAGAGATTGAACGAACACGCTCGCTTTTGTCATTGAAAATGTACCGCGACAAAGGAGTTCCTTGGCGTTAAGGCGGGGGGAACACAAAGCCTATGGGAAGAAGGCCTACAGGGAACACGAAGTTGAGGTCACTTTTCCTGCTGTTGCCTGACAAAAGGTGATCCCCTAAGTTCGTTAAAAAAGGTTACCTCGACCTGTGGAATTGGGTACCATTGTATTTTGTCGCACTAAAGTTATGTCAATCATTTCTTTTCATTAGACCTTTGAGCGGAGTTGCCCTTTAAGGTATGCCTGCCTTCGCCCGTGTTCAGGCGCTACACATAATTACTGGCTACCATAATTCTGTGCCCAGAGTGTGGTCCTCCTCATCAGTCAGAACTTAACAGGCTCCCTTGAAGAGAAGTTTAAGTCACATAGCTGCGATGTCTATGCAACCAGTCATCTAGGGATGGAAACCGTAGATGTTTGTTGTGTTTTCTGTAGACGTGTCCCAATTCAGAATAAAGGTCTTGTAGGTGCTTAGTAGTATTTACCAGCAACATATACGGAACATGCTTGTTGTCTTTGTTGAGGTGAATTTTCTTTTACAGTATCAGTATTTTTCTTTTGAAATGCAACTTGCAAGATTTTCATCCAAGTTGCTGTCATCACCCACCCTAATTTTGTCAAACAGAAACGACCGCAGCTGGTAACTACGTGGGTTTGGGCAGACCTACACCCTTTGCTTTCGAAATAATTATATGTGAAAAAAACATTTCCACAGCATTTGAACCTTAATACACATATTACTGTAATATAGAATACAATGGAATTATGTATGTATTGCAGCCATTCTCAACATTGTGATACTGTTAGTCAGTTTCGAAGACACATGCTTTACAAAGTACAGAAAAAAGACCAAACACAAAAATTTCAGATTAAAAATATTTATTGATTCGTTAGAAAGGATTATGTTAGTAAAATCATCGTTCATTTTCAGCAGTTGCAGGTAGGAAAAGAATGAGGATAATAACAAAAAGTCAGTGTAGCATGCGTATACCATGTAAAGCTAAGAAAAACATGTGATCTAGGATGAAGCTTTTTGAATTGAACTTGTTTCATGAATTTAAAACTTTGCCCACCTCTGTCTTCGAGGATTCATTATCTGGAGCGTCTCTTAGTGGGCGTTGTGCTCCCAGGTCCTGCTTGGATGCAGAAAGTTTAACTTTAAGAGTTGTGTACTTTGATGTTTTACCCAGTCAAGGCAGTAATAATGCAATGCCTATTTACCGAACTTGTTGATGGCCCAGAGGTGTCAATTTCTGATGCACTGGGCTCGGAGAACAGCTGGAGACAGAAAATGAAAACATTGTAGATAAACAAAAATGCACCTCCATACAGATATAAACCAGTATTTCTATTTCTTATTTAAGACAGAATAGTGTGGACATGGGATTAAATTATGTCCTTAATTTAGAATATAATTTCTTAGATTATAATTAAATGATATGTTAAGAAACATTAAGAGGAGCCTTTCTTCTAATATTTTCATACGTTTTCGACCTACTGGGTAGGGGGTGCAAACTTGAGGATTAACTGTTAACAAAAAAACTTCCTCACAAGTGAAAAGAGATAGACAGGTGATCCATTCTCTTTTTCTGTCTCGAACATTCATGTGAGCAGCAGATTAATGCTTTTGACCGGTTACATTTGAGCGAGCTGATGTCAGATCTGGCTTCTGAAAAGCGCTGTGCATTGCATCCGGCATTATTGTGCAAGAGCCATTTGTGGTAGCGGTGTGCTCAGCATCTCAGTTGCAGGGGCAAATCCAGAACTCCGTTTGAAGGGGGGACGGAGGGAATTTGCAAGGATACTATTCTCCCATTCTTTCTTGTGCACCGGATCCACCCCTGCTTAGTTGGAGGTGGTCTTCGAGAGAAACTTGATCTCCTTGCTATGCAGCTGCTACATCCCATACTTACATTGCACTATGCTTACATCTATGAACCCACTGGGTTTACCAGAGTGGTGCGATTTCTCCCAGCATAAGTGATGACTGCATACAAAACCACATTTTTTTGCAGCATAGTAAAGCTATGCTTGAGATATGTTAGCTATAAGAGATTTGTATGGGCATGAGATTTCGTCATATTCCTCAAATCGACAAGACATGAAGAAAAAAAATTTTTTTCTCGTATTTGCCGGTATTATTTTATGACATATTTCTACAATGAATTTTTTATATTTTCACCCGTCTCATTGCTCTAAAAATTATCACATAACAGAAAAAAAGGATGATGCCAGCTTTGTACACCTCTCTTTGCACTCAAGGTGACTGCTGTGCATCTTATGAGGTGAAAAATGCTGTTTCTTCTCAGCTTAGATTGAGGGCATTGCCTTACCACGCTTGTTAATGGCAATGACAGCTCCATGGTGGGTATACAGAAGCCCTATAAATAGGGTTTGGAGTTTTCGGTTTAAACCGATAAAAACCAATAAAAGTACGCCAAATCCATTTGCAGAAATTCAGTTTTAACCGAAAAAGGTCAGTCTTTAGGTTCGGCATTTTCAATTAAAACCGATAGAAGTTCGTCAAGTCCATTTTCTGAAATTCAGTTTTAACCGGAAGAGGTAACTTTGACCTTCCAGTCGTACAGCAGAGCCGTGGCAGAAAAGTGGAACGACAGTGTCTATCGAAACGTGTCCAAATGTATGGGATACACGGATGCCATCACGACGTTTGGTTTAATGTGCGCATCATTTATCGGAACTTGAAGTCCGAAATGCCCCATGGCTTCACCATGTACAAGCGTGTTTTCAAACTCGTTGTAAGGAAGACTGACTTGATGCAAGCTCTGCATGTTGTGTTTTACTTTAAAAAGTCGCACCGTGTCTCTTTTGGCGGTCACAATTGGCTGATCGGCCGATTTTGGCTCAGGCAGCGCTTCATCTCCTCAGCCTGCCAGTGTCTAGTCTCTAGTGTTAGCATTGAGAGGGCATTCTCGAAGCTCAGGGTCATATTAACAGGAAAGAAAGAGTGCAGATCAACGAGGAGAACCTGGGAAAGTACATCCGTGTGAACTATAATGAGATCACGTAATCCTGACGTACAGAAGGTGAAGTTCCCTGTTTATTGGGCATAGGCTTCATATCTGACTTGTTTGTACTTTTATGTTTTTTTTTTCTTGTTTCTTTTACAGTTGCACACATTTGCCAAATGAAGTGTCCATTTCTTTTTCAATGTATCTGTGCCGTTATTCTTTGAGTGATCACAAATAGCAGAGCTACGTACAAGGATCATCTGATCCGGTGTCTGTTGGTGTTTATTTTATATTCACCGAAAAAAGGCGCTAAACGTTTGTGGGCATAAATATACGCCGAAAAAAAAATGAAAATTGAATTTTAAAATAAACACCGAAAAAAGTATGCCGAATTTTGAAAAAAATAGAAACCAAAAATGCGGAACCTTACCTATAAATAATGGGATCCAGTTAACTGAAGCTGTTTTTGGTGCTCTACTACTTGATAGATCATTATAACAACAAAAGTACTTCTTTAGAAATGCATGTACTCACAGCCAGGCCGGTCTCATCTTCAAGAATTTCCATTTCTTCCAGTCCACCGTAACTGGAGTCCGTTGGTTCAACCACAACCTGAGGTAAATACGTTGTAACACTGCAGTTGAGACATTACTCCCTAGGCACGTGTGCCACAACACAACCATTTGTAGACTGGGTGAATGGAATGTGGTTTGTCTAATAAACTTTAGCTGTGTTTTGGAGATTCGTGTTGTACTGTCCCTTTTTTTCTCTACTCTCCAGGGTTAAAGACGTCAGTTTTGAACCAGCTCGCCTGCATTCTCGCTTTAACTCTCTCTACATTTAAAATTCCTGCCCACCCACCTCTGTTGCCGAGGGTTCGCCCTCAGGAGCATCTCTCGAAGAGGTACCCGCTCCCATGTCCTGCTAAGCACAGAACATTCAACCTTTAGAATTGCACTTTAAAACAATCAATGTACAATGTCTACTCACAGAACTTGTCGATGGCTTAAAAATGTCAGTGGTTGCTACACCAGGCTTGGAGAAAAACTGTAAGAACAGTGAAGAGTTAACTCGGCTATTTCAGTTCTGCTGGAAATGAAAACAGTGTGTACATACATTAGTCCAGTTTCATAATGCTCATAGAATAGGTTCTCAAGTCAATATATCTAGGTTACAACATGCACTTTTGACTAATGCAGGTTCTGTATGTCTTGACGGATCATTGCTAGTTTATGTGAGCATATGGGGAGCACAAGCCATGACATGACGAAAGAAGGTTAATTAGGCTGGTTTCTGATATCTACTGCTGATTGATAAATGATGATAGTGTAGCATTTTATTTCAAATATGTAACTCACAACCGAGGCAGTCTCATCTTCAAGAATTTCCATTTCTTCCACTTCATTGTAGCTGGTCTCTCTTGGCTCATCTGCAACCTGAGCGCAATAGAATTTGTTGCAACACAGTCACACACAGCGGCGTAGACTTTCCATTTTCCCGAGGGGGGCAGGCTGAGAAGTTCTCTGGGGGGGGGGGGGGGGGGGGGGGGGGGCTGCTGCTCCGCGTTACCTTTTCGCCAGAACTGGAGATTGAAGCTAACGAAAGCACGCTGGGATTCCATTTCCCATATATTTTGTCAGTAAAGGCAACGTGAGCGTTATTTTGTTTACATGCCACTACTAGAAACTCGTTAGATGGCACGTAAGCAGCGTCTCTGTAAGGATCATGGCCATGGCACAAGGGGGTAACTGTCCCCCACCCCCTCCCGATCTTACCAGGAGGGGCACGAGCCCTGATGCCCCCCCCCCCCCCCCCCCCCGAAGTCTACGCCTATGGTCACACATATAACTTACTGGTCACCTGTCATCAATACAATACGACAGACACTACTGGTGAGTGTTAGTGACGGCTTCTTTTCTTCTTTTAATTCATGTAGATATCCTGAACCGATCGTGAGGACGATAGATGGAGTTTAGAATAAATTACATAAATGATATGGAACAAACTGCTTTCTCTTTGAAGCATTCACCTCGTGTGCTGAAATGGGCACCACTAATAGCTGATACCTTACCACTTCCACTTCTGTAGCAACATCCATGCACGCGCCCAGCCCTGTAAAACACATCACGTACTCAGGAACAGTAGGGCGCCATGCCCTGGCTATTAACTACAAAAAAGCTAGCTGTGCGTGGAGCTGTTTCAAAACGACCTTAACACACTAGAAAATAAGAATAGTTTACTTTTCATGCCGCGCACAATATGTAAGGCTACATACGGTGGCAGTCATTTTCAACGTCGGCGGTGACAGGCAGAGCCATAGATGGGACGGCATTACTTTTCAGGCGGCGACCTGAAACGCTCCAGTAGAAGTCCGCAGTTTTGAAGTGCATGGAGCACAGCACCCTGTCCTTGGATGGGGTCCAGTCACCGCCGCGACCAACGGCCGAAATTTATTGTCGCCGCAGTTCGGCGACCGTCGGAAATCTAAAAGAATTGTTGATCGATTCCTGTTACCCGTAAAACTATCTGTGTGTAACACGCCAAGGGCTTACCGGTAAAAGGTGACCCCCGCCGAGGAAGCCCCAGTTCGATTGCGGCAGCCGACCACGCTACAAACGCCCATCTCGTAGCCGGCGAAAATCAACGTGCCGGAGACGCCAGACCAGGCTTTCGTTTTCTGTACCAGCTGCTCAGCGGTGCGTCGTCTGCCCGTGACAAGGAGGTTGGCCCGTGATCAAACCCGTGATCCGCTTGCTTGCTTCATGTCAAGCCTTCGATCTGATAAAACCTACCGGACGGAGCTGCTTGCTTTACGTCTAGCCTTCAATCTCATAAAACCTACCGAACGGAGCGCGCACAAGCCTACAAGGAATCCTTCTACAATCAACCATCCAACTCACACGTGACTTGTCACGCGCACCAATCGCCAGAGAGATCTGCGGTCACGCTGGGCACAAAATCGTTTAAACTTTTTATGACTAGGCTTCACCAATATTGGGTCGTGCCCCCTCCTAGTACTTCTAACCTCCTGGCTGCAGTCAGACCCTCGGGGTCCCACACATGGCTACTAACCTGCCTACAATTTCACGGATATAATTTTATCATCAGAGCAGTGTCATGAACTTCAACAATCCACGAACTTACCGGTGAAAAGATATTCGCGTTCCTTTCGAAGCTTTCTTTTTGCATAGCGCGCACATGTACGGCCTCCCGTCAAAACTAAACTAAACCAGATAACCGACTTTGCGGGTGGCCGCGCCCCGGGAATACGAAACCGAGCAACCATTAGATTTCCGAGATTTCAACAGAAGGAAAATTAATGCAGCGTAATGAGTATACTGCTTTTTATAAGCGTTAGAATAGCTCAGAATTTAGTTTACGTTAAATGATCACTGTATATATTGATGAGAGTTTTCAGTCTTCGCGATTACCATTGCGACTGCCATCCGTCAGCTGGCAACGTTGGTTTCTTGCTCTCGTGCTCTGTCGCTCTCTTTCGCGATCTTTCATTCGGGCCCCTGGATGCAGTCTTGGGTAGTAACGCGTTACTAGTAACGCGTTACTGTAATTTCGTTACTTTTTTGGTAACTTCTAACTGTAACGAGTTACTTTTTTAAAATGTAACTTGTAACTGTAGTTCTATTACTTTTTTCTGAGGTAACGATGAAAGTAACGACGTTACTTTTGTCGTTACTTTCCAGTGTTTTATGAATATTATATCACTGAACGAGAACAATCTGGATATTCCTTGAACTTCTCAAATCGTCTATTTTGACATTTCGAGTGCAGATTTGATGATAAAAACATCTAGTTATCTTTACGCACGCGCTTGTATTTCTGACTGAACACTTACATCTTAGTGTCTTGAAGCACTATCTATGTTGTGGTTTTTCTCCTTTTGTTAACTGTGAAAACGCTTTTTAATCGGGTGAATCAACCCTGAAACAACAATACACGCGGAGGGCACTGCGCATGTTCCGTATTTTGATTAGCGCCAGTACTCCGCACTGCGCATGTTTCGTATTTTGATTTGCGCCACTACTCTGGCGTGGAAATTTTTAAACACTAATTTCGAGAAGCAACTTCTGCTAAGTTACAATATGAAGTAAAAAGCGTACTTTTTTTATTTAATGCAATAAAACTTGATGGGGGGCGTTTTCTAGTTTTTCCTATTTTTTGTGTTATAGGAAAGTAACTGAAAAGTAACGTCGTTACTTTTTAAAAGTAACTGTAACTGTAACGAGTTACTTTTTTGTTGCGGTAACTGTAACGGTAACTTAGCTACTTTTTTCTGAAAGTAACTGTAACTGTAACGAAATACTTTTTAAAAGTAACTTACCCAAGACTGCCTGGATGTCGGCGCACAGGATTTGCCACTCCTCCTCACCCACCTTTACCCCCCCTCCCCCCCTGCCCAAGGAGGTTAGAAATACTAGGGGAGGGCACGTTGCAATATTAGTGAAGCCTAGTCATAAAAGGTTTAAACGATGTTGTGGCCAACGTGTCCGTAGATCTCTCTGGCTATTGGTGCGCGTGACATGTCACGTGTGACATGGATGGTTGATTGTAGAAGGACTCCATGCAGGCTTGCGCGCGCTCCGTCCGGTAGGTTTTACCAGATCGAAGGCTAGCCTGTGGTGTATTCTAGTACCCCATAGCTAGACGAAGGCTAGCTACAGTCACGTGATGTTGTGACGTTGGCCTGGTAAGTGAGGAGAGTAAGGAGGAAAATGAGAAAGAGGCGAGGCGTCAAGGGAGCATAGCTTGTGGAGGCTACACGGCTGTCGTCATGCCTTCTCCCACGCTTCTATCCTCCCTGCCCCTGCCCAGCAGCGAGCGGCAGCGTGGTGGCAAGATGTACTTCATATTTCCGCCGAACACAATCGTAAATTCGGATTTGACAAGAAAACTCCTATAGGAGGCTCACGTTTACATATTACGAGTTTAATACTCATAACAATTAAAAGTACCAAAAAGTAACGTTTACAAAAAGTAAAATAATATTGTAATAATATTTTTAGCTTCGTTTTTATCTGTTCGTAGTCAGCCCCAAAGTAGTAAACATCACTTGTAAATGTCAATTTGTCGGTCGTGTGGCAACACCTCCTTTAGAGAAAGGGCCTTTAATGAAAAGGACATTTACAGAAAAGGACCTTTAGGACGCCGTCTGACACGGGTATCACTCGGCAGCACGCATGGAGGAGCTCAAGGCAAGTGTTAGTGGCTGCGGCTATGCACTGATTGATATAGACCTTCTGTCCTGTGCCGTCGCCGAAACATGTGTGTGTGATGTGTGCGGTGGGAACTTGCAGCTGGTTGAAAACGCAACTCGTAGAGCTAGCGTCGCCTGCACCTACTCTTAGAACTGCGAAAAGTGCGTTTCGACACACCGATTCGAGGCGTCAAAACGGAGGACTTCGGGCCTCTATGAGGTCAGTGTCAGGATCCTGTACGCCTTACAGTGCATTGGGAAGGGAGAAGCTGGGGGGGTACTTTATGTGCTATGCTCAACCTCCTGAAATCACCTACAAATGTTTCGTGGTACAGTGCACAACTACTCGCCCACGTAAGCGCCGCCACTGAAGAATCAATAAAACGTGCTGCAAAAGAAGCAGTGAAGCTGAATGACGCGGACATGACTTCTTGCACTTTTTCAATTTGGTACCTCATAAACACGGTACGTGAAAGTCAGTAAGATTAAGAATCCTTTAATAGTAAAATGTGAACCATAGTTCGTACTTATTTAAGTCTTCGGGTAAGTGCCTAGGCTGATTTCTGGTGCTTATCGATCATGTGCGGGATCAAAAAAAAAAAAAAAAAAGGCGGCACTTTACACATCTTTTGATAAGCACGAGCCACGACGGCAAGAATAGATGTATGATTTTGTCCTTAAAACTCTTACAACCGGTCTCACAACAAGAACTAGGAAGTGAGTTTCCCAGCGGGTACGTATATTCAAAACTTCGGTTAGGAAGAATTCTAACCGCTCACGTAGGTGCGACTAGCCGGCCTTCTGGCTTGCCGGAAAACAGTCTTTGACGCCAAATTTACTTTCTGTTGCAACGAAGCTAGCGGTACGGTAATGCTTTACCCATCGTCTTTAGAGATAACACTAACCCCTTGGGCATTGCTTTCTCTCTAACAAAGAGTCCAGTTGCCAAAAGTTCACCGAGCAACATTGGCGGCCGCCATATTTTGGACATCATTTTCTGCGCAAAACGGGTGGTTGGATTTGAGTTCACATCGAAAGCGCTGGAGCGAATATATCACCCGAATACGCGGTGAACGCTGGCACAGCACTCGTGTCCAATGCATCCTCGAAGCGATTGCCCAATATATGACGGCCAAGGAGAATCGACGTAACACTTATACTGAACGGTGCGCGTTTTGAAAATGATCTATTTAGCGAGATTGCTCTAGAAAGTTATTGTAAATAAAAGCATTCTTAATAATCAGCGATGTTTGACTTTATATATATTAAGAGAGAACAATTTTAAAGGCAAAGCTAGGTATATTAGGCAATTATGAAATGAGGTATATCTGAATAAATATATTTACCTTCTGCGTGACGTATTATATCCACGCTTAAACTTGCTTCTTCTATCAGTAATAAGCATATCATCAACAATATAATTCATAATAACGGTAACTACATCTGGAATATTTAAGATAGGTACGTTTTTTTTAAAAAAGCTGTAATACCTTTTTTGATATACCTGCTATGGCCCACATGTGGGAGCCGTAGTATCCTTTAAATGAGTATGTTTACCTATCACAAACCGAGAACATAGCAACACGCTTCACTCGTTTAAATATATGATGGGGTCACAAGTGCACTTTCACTAAGTTTAATCATAACGCTCGCAGTGTAGATAATGATACAAGGCCATGACGTCCTAGAAGGCGGCCGTGATGGGTCGAAAACCAGATTAAACAGCGCGAGCGCAATCGCTGATTTGCTCATGTGCGTTGGATGACGGGATGGCGTTTACGTATCAGTACATATTTTTATCATAATTATCATATTCATATTTTGATGAGGCTGCACGTAATAAAAACGAACGATTGATCATTCTTAGGAGAAAAAGCAGTAAAGGTGCGCGACGAGTTTTTCTTTTGAAGTTT